GGAGGGCAGGAGGGTGGGGGAGGTAGGATTGTTGTTGCTGGGGGCTCATTAGGTAGAGATTGGTTTTTAATCAGCACCATGGCAATGATGATGCAAGAACTGAGATGCCACCTGATCCCCTGCCCCCCAGCCCCCCTCCTCAAACCTCCTTTCCCCTCCAGCTCAGCCCATCTGCTGGCGCCTGGGCACCTGTCTGGGCCTGCCCAGGTGGGATTTGGCACCTCCCAGACCTGGGAGTGGGGAGGGGTGGGGGAGCTTGGGAAAGAATTATAGGACTCCCCTTTGGGAATGCCTTACCCTGCAGAAAGCCCAGAAGAGGTTGATCAGCAATGGGGAAATGGCAAATGCTTCCAGAAGTCTGAAGGTAGGCTGTGCTCCTACTAAGGTCCAGACCCATGACATGCATTATCTTACTTAATCTCCCTGGCAACCTAAGTGGCAGCTATAGTTAATCCCGTTTTACAGAAAAGAAAGGCTGAGGTTCAAGAGGGTTTTCTAGGTGGTGCTAGTGGTAAAGAATCCACCTGCCACTTCAGGGGATGCCAGAAATGTGGGTTCAATCCCTGGGTCAGGAAGATCCCCTGTAGAAGGAAATTGCAACCCACTCCAGCATCCTCACCTGGAAAATTCCATGGACAGAGGAGCCTGGCTGGCTACAGTCCAGAGGGTCGCTAAGAGTTGGACATGACTGAGGTTCAAGAGGTTAAGTTACTTGTCCAAAGTCACACAGCCGACAGAGCTTTCTTCACTGTAGCACAGTCTCTGGAGTCTTCCCAGCCATGGTTCATTTCTGGATCTTCACAAAGGCTCAATGAAGATGCTCAGCAGCTGAGTGGGGAAGAGAACTTTGGGTACTGAAGCATAGCCTGCTGCCTCTCTGTGGGGCTTCCCTTGCTCCCTGCTCCTGCCACCCTGCATCACAGATACACACACCCTCAGATACGCACATACATGCACACGCAGGCTGGAGGCAGCTGAGCTACTGATGTGAACTTAATCAATGCCCATTTGCATATTATTTTATAGCTGGTTTTCCGCATTGCTCATCTGATGCCCCAGCATGCTTGACGCCTGCTTGGGTGCCCTGCCCCCCTCCCCCAGTGTCCTTCCCACCCCGGTTCCTCCTCTCTTGGCACTCCTGCGCTCTGCTCCATTTAGCCTTACCTCTTTCCTCCTGAGAGTCCTCAATTCTCAGTTGGTCCGACTGGGCCAGCCAGCCTAGAAAAACTCTTTGTAGGATCTGTGTCAGGCATCTGACCCCACTCCTCCTCTGGTGATGGGGTAGGTGGGAGGCTGGGAGCTGGGAGGGTGTGGTGAATCCCAGGGGTGATGAGGGCAGGGGCCTGAACAGTAGCCACAGGTAGCCTGGCAAGGGGGCTGGTGGGAACCAGCTTTACGAAGAATGAGATCTTGGTGAGCGTAAGGACCCTAGGGTCCTCTTCTGTGCTTTAGTGCTGTCCACTTGCTCTTTTCTAGACTTCCCTGTTAGTGCCTTGGGGAGCCTTTTTCCCAGGGAAAAGGAGACAGGGGAAGGGGCTAGCACAGTCCAGCTGGGAATCAGGATGGGACCATGGTTTAACCTGGCTTGCCAGGGGCCTCTGTCCCTGCCGCCTCTGGTGTGAGAGACTGAGGGGGTTCATCTGTGATCCTGCCCTGGCTCTCGCCCCAGCCCCACCCCTTCCCCAGCTCTCCATTTCTTGCTTATGAAATATGCATGGAGAACAGATGTCCCTGCTTAGCAGCCAGAGGAGACGGGCTGTCCGCGCGGCCCCCTGTCCTGCCAGTTTGGATCCCCTCACAGGGTCCTCCTAGGTAAAGGGGGAAACCACGGGATGGGAAGGCTGGGCGTGTCCCTCCCACTCTCTGGCTCAAGTCCCCTCCCTCCAGTTCTGTCTCGCGCTGCGTCTCTCTCCATCCCTGGACCTCCCTCTTACCCACTTCTCCCCTTGGACTCTTTGTGCCTGTCATTCTCAGTTGGGCTGGGGATGGCAGAAGCGGGGCAGGAAGTCCTTCCCCGGATGCTTGGAACTGCAGATCTTCGGAGCCTGGAACTTTGACAGCAGAAGTGGCTTTTGGGGTGAGGACTGACTTGATGGGTAAACAGACGCTGCCGTGCAGACTGGAGTTGGGGAGGACAGCGGGGCAGGTGGACATGGGACTGGGGTCAGATCGGGAGCAGATGGAGTGGGTTGGGGGAAGGAAGGGTAAAGTGATCAGGGATGAAGGAATGTGGGGACTAGGGAGAGGGAGAAGCGGGCTGTGATCGATGTGGAGAACCCGGCAGCTGACCTCCTGGAGCACGGGAGTGGGGAGTGGCAGCACTAAACATATTGGGAGGTGCTGACTTCAGGGCCTCCTATGCTATCGCCATGCATTCTTTTCTTGTTCCTTTGAATCCTGGAGTATGGAGTGTGTCCTAAATTTTAGCACTCACCTCCTTGTGTTTTTTGTTATGGTTGTGTGTGTACATGCATCAGATGGTGATGATCTCACACCCCTCAATCCTCAGAGCTTACTGTTAGTGAACTATGCAGTTGAGCCTCTTTTCTGCATGGTGGGGCGGGGCAAGGCTGGGGAGTCCTGACCCTGTGAAGGTCTGCTTCAGGCAGGAGAACTCAGGCTGGCGAGGAAGGGGAGACGGTGATGGCGAAGGAGCCTCTGTGCCTCTGTTTCTGGAAGTTAAGTCCGCAGAGCCCCCAATGAGTGATTCGCTGTTCCGGCTTGACATTCCCCCAGAGCGAAGCCCTTTCCTCAGCCTTTCCTGGGCCATGTTCCAGCTGCCTATCCCTGACCTCCTCTTCTCCCAGAGACAAGCAAACCTTAGCCAAGCCCCAAACAGAGGTCCCCAAAAGCTATCCCATCCTCCTCTGCAGACCATCTCTGAACTGCCCTTGAGCTGGGGGAGGGTGTGGAATGGAGAGCTGATTACATTCCCTTTCCCCAGTCTTCCTTGCACAGTTGCCAAAAGGGCCAGGGAATGGCAAGGTTGAGAGTGTTGATGACAGGGCTGGAGGAAGGGGCTGTCCTGGGCGGGGGGACTACATCCCCCTGATTCTAGTGGTCAGGGTGGTAGGATCTGACGTCTGCTACGGTCCTGTCTGCTACGGTCCTGTCGTGTGGGGCTTGGGGGCTGGGAGGGGTTGAGCTGGGTAGTGGTGCTGAGCTCCGTATGCCCCAGTCCACCCTACAAAGGGCAGTCTGCGTGTTTATCACCCGCACCCCTCCACACACACACGCAGAAGCAGCCAGGGTGGAGACGGGCCCTGGGAGGGAGGGGATGGCAGGGCCAAGGCTTGCAACGTTCCCTCACAACTGGGAGAGGTTTAGAGCCACAGCCCATCTCTCTTGGAGCCGTGGTTCCAGTCTTGCTCAGTCCTCTGTCCTTTTAATTATTAAACAATTTTTTTTTATTGTGATAAAAACACATAACATAAAATTAGACATTTTAAGTGTATGGTTCAGTAATGTTAAGTATATTCACTTTGTTGTGAAACAGAGCTCCCGAACTTTTTCATCTTGTAAACCTGAAACTCTGTAACTTTTTATCAATACCTCCCCTACTCCTGGCCTCAGACTCTGAAGCATCATTTTACTTTCTGCTTCTACTTTCTGTTAACTACTTAGATACATCATAGAAGTGGAATCATATAATATTTGTATTTTTGCAACTGATTTATTTCACTTAGCATAATGTCCTCAAGGTTCTTCCATATTGTAGTATTGGTGATAGGCTTTTCTTCCCTTTTAAGGCTGAATAATATTCTATTGTGAGTATATGCCACATTGTTTAATCCATGCATCTTTTGATGGACATTTGGGTTGTTTCCATATTTTGGTTATTGTGAATAATGCTACAGTGAACATGGGGGTGCAGATATCTGTTCAAGATCCTGATTTCGATTTTCTTGGACATATACACAGAAGTGGGATTGCGAGATCATGTGGTACTTTTATTTTTAATTTTTAAAGGAAACTGCATACTCTTTCCATAACAGTTGCATCATTTTACAATCCCACCAATAGGGCAAAGTGTCCCAATTTCCCCCTATCCTGTTATGTGTGTGTGTGTTTGACAATAATCATCCTAACAAGTGTGAGGTTACATCTGATTGTGATTCTGATTTGCATTTCTCTGATGATTAGTGATGTTGATCATCTTTTCTTATGTTTGCTGGCCATTTGTATATCATCTTTGGAGAAATGTCTTCAAGTCCATTGCCCATGTCTTGGTCAAGTTTTTTTCTTTTTTTCATTGAACTGTGGGAATTCTTTGTAATACTCTGGATATTAATCCTTTATCATCCATATTATTTGCAAATATTCTCTCCTGTTGCCTTTTCAGTCTGCTGATTGTGTCCTTTGATGCACAGGCGACTTTTAAATTTGATGTAGTCCCATTTGTCTATTTCTGCTTTTGTTACTTGTTCTTTTGGTGTCATATGTGAGAAATCATTGCCAAGTCCAATGTCATGAAGTTTTTCCCCTGCCTTTGCTTCTAGGAGCTACAGCGTTAGGTCCTACAGGTAGGTCTTTAATCCTCTTGCTCAGTTTTATCCTGCCCTGTATTCTTCTCATGGGTTCTCCTCCTTTCCTGTTGCTGACTTTCTGGGTCTCCTCCCTTCTTTCCAGCTTTCTCTTACGTCTTTACACTGTGGCCACCTGCTCCCCTCTCTTGCTTCGCACCCACCCCATGTTTCTGCTGTCCTTTCAGCAAGCTTACAGTACCTCCCCGCTCCCAGCCCACCTTAAACCTTCCTCCCGGCTCCCCACTTCTGAGCTGTCCCCTCCTTCCTGCCTCTGACCGTATTCATTTCCCCTTCTTTCCACCAGACTCCCGACCAGAGCCCTGACCATGGAACCCTGACGCGCTCCGACTTCCTGAGTTCAGTGGAGACCTCCCCACCCCAGGCCCTTCCTGCCCCTCCCGCCGCCAGCTTTCAGGCTCCCAGAGGGAGGGGTGGGGAGGGGGTCCTGGGCTCACGGAGCGGGGGGCATCCATCATGATGCTCAACTCAGACACCATGGAGCTGGACCTGCCCCTCACCCACTCGGAGGCCGAGTCCGGCTTCAGCGACTGTGGGGGCGGGGCGGGCCCCGACGGGGCGGGGCCCGGGGGGCCGCGAGGGGGCCCGGCCCGGGGCCTGGAGCCCGCAGAGCCTGGCCGGAAAGACCTGCAGCACTTGAGCCGCGAGGAGCGCCGGCGCCGGCGGCGCGCCACGGCCAAGTACCGCACGGCCCACGCTACGCGGGAACGGATCCGTGTGGAAGCCTTCAACCTGGCCTTCGCCGAGCTGCGCAAGCTGCTGCCCACGCTGCCCCCCGACAAGAAGCTTTCCAAGATTGAGATCCTGCGCCTGGCCATCTGCTACATCTCCTACCTGAACCACGTGCTGGACGTGTGAACACGGCCTGCCTCCCCCTGGGTCCACCCGTCTGCCCCGCGCCTCGCTGGGCTCCCTGCTCACCCGCTCACTGCTTAGAACGGCCTCTCCTTCCTGAGCCCCCACACCTCGGCATGGCATGTACACACGGCCCGGGCCCGGGCAGAGTGCCCACAGGAAGGCGACTTTCTCTGACTCACCCAGGCCCCCGGAGGGCTCCTCTCGTGGGAACCTTCCACGGGTCGTGGTCGGGGCCCCGCTGGTTAGAAACGTTTGCCGGGCTGGCGGGTATAGTCTTGGCGTCTTCCCCTTGGCTCGCTCATGGGCTGCTGCCTCTCCTACTCCTAGTCCCAAATTTTCAGAGATTTCCCCGCCCCTTCCCCAGGTCCCAACTCTGCCTCCCACCCTCGTTCTACCCCGCCCCAGCTTCTGCCCATAGTAGGGAGGGGGCATGGGAACAGGAAGGGGGAAGGCAGGGATTGGAGTCGGGTGGGCTTGTTCTCAAGCATCTCAGTCTAGCTCTGGGAGACAGGGGCTCGGGGAGTTAACTCCTCTGAGGGGCATCTCGGTAGCTGGGAATTGTGGGAAAACTCCCTGTTTTCTCTCTCTTCCTGAGGCTTAGCTTATACAGACCTCGGTTCTTACTTGGTGGTGAGTGCCTTGCCCTCTCTGAGCTATTTGGCCTTCTCCCTTCCCCTTCCACCCAACCATCCCAGTTTGCTTCTTCCTTGTGTTCAGCTAGAGAAAGGGAAACCTAGATCTTGGGGTAGGGGAGTGTGTCCCCAGACTCAGCCCAGAGTATCTGCAAAAGGCCCGGCAGTGGGTGGGCTGGATCTGCTTCCTCCTTCCCCGCCCACCACAAAGATGTGAGAAACCCACTCTGTCAGATCCAGGGGTTATGCCCTGTTTTTGCCCTCCGGGAAAGCTCAGCTCTTCTGCCCCATGACTTGTTCATTGTATTTTTTTCTCTTTCCTTAAGCTGCTTTTAGCAGGGAAGAGACCCCTACCCCACCCCTCCTTGAGACCCTGTTGTCTCCACCAACCCCCCTCCCCACCACGTTGCTGAGCCCACCTGCTCACTAGCTGGGGTCAGTGGCAGAATGAAGGGCCGGAGAACCCGTGTAGAAGAGATGCAGTCCCACACTTCCCATGTTCCACCTCCCTCACACCAAACTCCTAGCTCTACAAGGATGTTATTTATGTATGTATTTATTTATTTATTCATCTATTTATTTACTTATTTATTTATAAATATTACTATTTATTGCCGAGTCGTGCACTTTGGGATAGAGTGAGGAGGCTCCTGGCAGCCCTCGCCTGGCCTCTCTTACTTCCTCCCTGGTTATTCCCGTCCCTTTCTCGTTCCTTCTGCAACTCCAGGTGTGTGGGGGATCCCTTTCCCTCACCACACCCGTATCCCCTCCTGGATCCATCTGTCCTGACACCCTAACCCTCTGGGATGATACCCCCTTTACCCTCCCAGTGCTCCTGGGCCCTCCGTCAGCTCCCTCCATCCCCAGGCAATCCCACCCCAGTCCTGCCTGCTTCTTTTCTCTTCCCAGCCCTCCCCAGGATCCTCACTTCTTCCTAAGAAGCCCTCCCCAACAGTGGGCCCTTAGGGGCCTGTGTCCCGTGTGTGAGTCCCTCCTGTTGCAGTTCTGATTTCATATACAAGGAAAAATTAAAGTGACCTCATTCTAGCACCAGGTACAGCTGTGGATCATTCGACTGGGTTGGGACGCTGGATTGCAGGTTATGGTAGGGCAGGGATTGAGGGTCCCAAGCTTTGGAGACTTCTTATGGGGTCACGAGAGCTCATTATGGTGGGAAAATTAAAAAAGAGAGAAGAGGGATGCCAGCGTGTGCAGGGGAGTGTGGAGCAGGTCCCAGGCTCCTCCACCTAAAGTGGAGTACCTCCATCTTGATACCCATCCAGGGACACTTTCTGACTCTTCTGATATGCTTCTGCTCCTGCTCTCTGTGGATCAGAGAAGGAGCCGAGTGTCCCAGTGGAACCCGTGTTAAACGTGTGTCTGTGGGTCCCTGCTGCTGGGCTGTGCATCCATTCACGCCATGGCTATGAAGCATTATTGCCTCTGAGCTGGGTCAAAGTTCCTTGCAGTCACAGTTCTTGGCCCATTTTGTGTTCCTCAGCTTTTGGATACAGGAAAGAACACAGTGGAGCACCTGGGACTAAGAGGGAAGTAGGGGCCGGGATAGAAAGGAGAGCTGAAGGAATCTCAGAAGAGTCCGGGGAGCAGCTCTAAAGTTACCCTAGAGACGAGGGAAGTGGAGTCCAGAGAAGACAAGAGCCCACAGTCACACAGCTGGTTAGGGGAAGAGAGGAAGTTCAAACCCAGATTGTTTCGTGTCCTATACTGCCAATACCTCTCGGCTTCTCTGAAGTGACCCAGCCTGCCAGGTGGTGCTCTAGGGACTCCTATTTTAACAGGAGCTTTGATAAACTAGAGAGTATTCAGAGTTGTGTGGTCAAGAAGGCGGCACACACTTCACTTCTGTGAAGCCTGGAAGTAACTTCACAGAAGGGACAGGTGGAAAACTGAGGATATGTGTCTTTACAAGTGTAGAGAAAGTGAATGTTGCTCAGCTGTGTCCAACTTTTGTGACCCCATGGACGGTAGCCCGCCAGCTCCGCTGTCCATGGAGTTTTCCAGGCCAGAGTACTGGAGTGGGTAGCCATTTCCTTCTCCAAGGGATCTTCCAACCCAGGGATTGAACCCATTGAACAATCCAGGTCTCTTGCATTGCCGGCAGATTCTTTACCTTTTGAGCCACCGAGGAAGCCCTTTACAAGTGTGCATTTAGGGACTGCAGGATGCCCATCTTCAAATATTGAGAGAAAAACAAAACCAGACATTCTGTGAGGCCCCAGGAGGCAGAATGAAGACCAGCAGATGGAAATGACAGGAAACAGACTTTTAACACCAAAAAACTTTGCAACATCTGGAGCTGTCCAGCAGTGGGAGTGCCTGCCTCAAGGAGGAGGAGTCCAAAAAGGCAGAATGACCAGTGAACCATTCCTGCAGAGATGAACCACTGGCTAGGTAAACTTGAAGATCCTTTTCAACCATAAGGTCCCAGCACTGGGTGGAAAATGCTGGGGTGTCCTTCCGCACCTGATGGGGGCTGTTTTCATCTCTGATGGGCAAAGAATGACATCAGAAGCAGGAGCCGTTTGAGTTAGACTCAGGGAGGAACTACCATAGAGGAAGAGGCTGACATCTTCCCTTCCCATCTGATGTGTATGAAATGTGCTCTGCCTAGAGCCTGGCAAGAGGGAGGGCTGAACAGAGACCAGGGAGACTCTGAGGACTACAAGGGGCCAGGGCTGGAAGGGAACACAGAATTTGCTGACTCCAACACCCTTGTTTAAGAAGCAGGTAAAATGCAAAGGTGATGGAACTCCTCCACGAGGGTGGATTTAGAACCAGTGTCTTCCATTCCTGGCGCCGAGGGCTTTGTGCTTTCCCCGGCACAGCAACCTCCGTCCCCTGAGCGCCCTGCCTCTCTCTCAACACTTTGTCCCGCTGGAAAGCAGAAGGGGTTACGGGGCCCCTCCTCTCAGGGATCCCCGAGGGCCTGGGGGTGGTGAGAGGGGGCAGCCGCAGCTGTTCTCTTGCTAGCTCCGAATTTCTTCAGATAATCAATTGGCCTCGCTGCCGCTCTGCTCCCCGGGACTTGAGATGAAGGAGGTGGGAGTGGGAGGGGGAAGGGAGCAGGGGGCCAGGCCCTGGGAGAGGAGACTGTCAGGGAGGTAGAAGTCCCTGGGTGAGGGGAGAGAGAGCACGCCGGGGCTAACATTCAGGGAGGAGGGCAGAACGGAAGGTTTTAGAGGAAGCATCTGGGGGTCCTCATTTCACAGCCTCCAGCGTGCAGCACGTGGGGCCAGTGGGTGTGGAGGGGTGGCTTGGAGGCACCTGGCAAATGGGTCTTACTTACCCCTTCCTCCTGCAGCCCCTTCCCATGCAGCCCCGCCCCGTTCAGCTTTCCAAGGGCTCTTCCATCCCCGGTTTCCTCCAGCCTGGGCCCACCTGTGCTGTCTGTCATAATTACTCCCCTCTGCCCCGGTGTCAGTAAACTCCACCCCTGGCGACAGACAGCAGGGCCTCAGGGGTTTGAGAGAATGAAGGGGACCTCTTCGCCACTCCCGCCCTCCTCCCCTCACACACACGCACACACAAACACGCACACACACACACATGCACGTGTACACGCGCGCACACACACGCACACGTGCACACGCACACACATGCGCGCGCACGGTGTAGGCTGCCAGGCATATGGCCCCTTTGTGCCCACACAATGGAGACCTGCCTGTGCCCTTTCATCTGGGCACAGGCCTCCTCTCCCTCTGGCACTTACCTTCCTTCTTTCCCAGTGCGGCGCTTGCCTTCTTTGCCTTCTCTTTCTGACTCTTGCTTTCTTATGTCTTTTCCTTAAGCTCTTGAAATCTGATTGAGTGAGGACTGGAGGCAGGAGAAAGAAGCTGACAGGAAGGTCACAATCCCTGAATCCTAGTTTACCAGAGAGAAGAAGGAAGGGAGCAGAGAGGGAGCTGGGGAGAAGGGAGGCAGTGTGTTGGCCACAGCAGAACCAGTAACGTTGTGCCGGAGGGGAAAGAAAGCCCTGGGTCCTAGCTCCATGTTCAGCTTTTATAATTTGTGCCATAAAGAGCAAAGCACATGCCTCCCTGCGCCTCAACTTCCTCATCTGCAACATGGGAAGGTGAGACCTGCCTCGCAGGGATGTTGAATCATCACTGATTCAATGGACATGAACTTGGGCAAACTCCGGGAGATGGTGAGGGATAGGGAAGCCTGGCAGGCTGCAGTCCGTGGAGTCGAAAAGAGTCAGACACGACTTGGCCCGTGAACAACACAGGGATGTTAGTTAAGAAGATTAGATGAGATCATCCTGGCAGTGCTGAGCATGGTAAGTGCTCACTTAGGGCACCTCAGGGGCAGTAAGTCAGAGGGCCAGCCTGGACTGTTGCACAGTTG